AAGGGGGAGAGCCGTTCATTCATTTGATGCATGTTTATCAAGAGCCTGTAATATGCCAGGCACAGTGCTAGGCCCTGGGCTGCAGCCATTAACAAGATGTGTGGGCTAATGAGGGGACGGAAATAAACAAGCAAATCAGTACGCAGACAAGATCGACAAAAGCAGACCGAAATGCTACCAAGAATATGGCTGTGAGAGCTACTTTGTTCTATGCAGCATTTTTAATGGTGACTTGGATGAAGCTCCAGAATGTATGCTTCTCAGTTCTCCAGGGGATTAGCGTCAGAACCAGGACCGACACAATCAGCAGGATGGAATTTAGCCGTGACAAGTTGTCGAGATCTGGAATCAGGCCCCGAAATCAATTACACAAACTCGGAATGTCATAGTCGACAGAGTGTGAGAAAAGGATTTGGAGGAATTTGTCGACTACAAGTCAAGGACGGTGTAGCTGTTCGCTCACTCATTCAAGGATGGTGTAGCTGTTCGCTCACTCATTCGCTCAGCAAATTCCGAGTGGATGATTATGGTGCCAGATACTGTTCTGGGCAATGAAAGGACAAAACGAAACAAGTTCCTGTCCTTCTGGTGGGAGGAAAGACAATAAACAAGTGAATCTGTGGTTGTAGGTGGTGATGGGTGCTGATAAACAGGGAAGGAAGGGCTGAGGGAGTGTGAATTTGGGGAGAAGCTCTGCAATTTTAGGTTGGGTGACCGGGGTAACTGAGTTCCCGGGGAAGCAGGTGCTGATTTGGGGGTTCGCGTGGGGGTATTTATTGGGGGGGACAGTTGGAATCCACATGTGCGGGAGGAAGCAGGATTGGGCTTTGGGAGGAGTTGAGCTGTGACTCAAGCCGAAGAACTCAGCCAGCGCCCCATGGAGTTCTGGACACAGATGAGCCTTCAGAATTGTCTCAAATCCCCCATGTTGACCAGCATCGGGTGAGGCTGCCTTGGAAGGATGCATGTGCTTGAACAGGAGGTTTTCTTCAGCTGAGACAATCCTCAAAGGGGCTGAGAGCTGAGGGCACCTCCCAGCAGCCAGGGGACAAGTCCTTCGCTCCTGAAGAGGGGTCAGGACCACACATCACAGTGCCCACTACCCCAGGGAAGGCTTCAGCAAGAAGAAGACATTGACAGAAGAACCTGAAGGTGTGAGGACCAAAACCTTTCCAGGCAGAGGGAACAGCAAGCACACAGGTCCTGAGGAGGGACGATGCTTGGGTGGTCCAGGAGGCTGGCATGGCTGGAGCACAGTGGGGGAGGGGGAGGGGGAGGGGGGGGGGGAGCTGGATTCTCAGTGACGGTCAAGGTTGCAAGGACTGTGACTTCTACTGGGAGTCAGACTGGTGCCTCTGGAGGGTTTTTAGCGAGGAACAGTTTGGCCTGCATGTTGAATGGTTTCTCTGGCTGCTGTGGTGAGACAAGCATGGCGGGGGGGGGGGGCGGGCAATGATGAAGCTGGGAGCCGATCAGGGAGCCCGCCGTAATGATCCAAGCAGGTGACGATGGTAGCTTGGACCCAGGTGAAGCAGCAGATATGGAGAGAAGTGACATGCCTCTGGACAAGTTTAGAGATGGAGCAAACAGACACGATGACAGATTGGAAGAGGGGTCAAGGGTGACGCCAAGGTTTGGGAACCGAGTAACTGGTTGAAGGAGTTTCTGTTACAAAAATGGATGCCTTCCTCCAAAAGGATGTTGGGCTGAGCCTACCAGGAGAGGCCTGCACTGGGCATTAAAGAGTTAATCCTATAGCGAATAGGCTTGTGGTTGCCAAGGGGGAAGAGGGGTGGGGGAGGGAAGGACTGGTAGTTTGGAATTACCAGATGCAAACTGGTTTATATAGGATGGATAAACAACAAGGTCCTACTGTATAGCACAGGGAACTATATTCAAAGTCCTGGGATAAATTATAATGGAAAAGAATATGAAAAGGAATGTATATACATGTATAACTGAGTCATTTAGCTGTACAGCAGTAATTAACACTACATTGTAAATCAGCTACACTTCAATTAATCAAAAAAAAAGAGTTAGTCCTTTTCCAAACCCTCCCCTCCATGCAGGAGACGCTGGGTGACAGGTGGTTTAACCCATCAGGCGGGCAGGCTGTGTGCACAGAGGGTCCTCATGCAGCTGAGGAGCTGAGACAGACCCCACTGGCCAGCTGAGGGCTCCTTTCCTCTGAGACACACACTTCAGGAAGGGCACTGACAAATTAACGCATTAAACAGCAAGACCCGGTGACAGATCTAATGGTGATTGTAATTTTGTTTTAATTAATTAATTATCTATTTACTTATTTGGCTGAGTTGGGTCTTTGTTGCTGCGCGTGGGCTTTCTCTAGTTGTGGCGAGCAGGGGCTACTCTTTGTTGCGGTGCGCGGGCTTCTCATTGCGGTGGCTTCTCTTGTTGCAGAGCACGGGCTCTAGGCGCTCAGGCTTCAGTTGTTGTGGCACACGGGCTCAGTAGTTGTGGCTCGTGGGCTCTAGAGCACAGGCTCAGTAGTTGTGGTGCACGGGCTTAGTTGCTCCGCGGCATGCGGGATCTTCCCGGACAAGGGCTCAAATCTGTGTCCCCTGCATTGCCAGGCGGATTCTTAACCACTGTGCCACCAGGGAAGCCCAGTGATTGTAATTTCGAAGTAGCCACAGCCATTAATTGATGACAGGTCACAGGTGCTACTAATGCTCCTCTGGAAGCTCTGTGCCTTCATGGTGGAAGGAAATGCCACATTTCAGTTATAGGTTGGTTGAAATAAAGAGGTAACTTTTCCCCATCCTCTTTTATGGAACCCCCTCCATCCTTTCCAAGGATCTCTCAGGAATCTGTGGACCCAGATCAAGAACCCCTGGAGGGCACCCATTTTGCTGATGAGATGAACAAACTGAGGCTCCGAGAGGTGAAGGGATTTGCTCAAAGCCAGGCAGTACTGAGCCGGGATGGGCATCTGGGCTGTGTGGTCCCAAAGCCCACTTTGGATTCCACCTTCCGTCTGTATGGTGGAGATAAACCTGCTCACCTGGCTGGGCTGATGGGCAGAGGCCTGGTGCACAGAGGCTTCCGTAAACCGCCGCTCCTGGACCCCACGACACCACGATGCGGTGGAGGGCAGACAGTGAGAATGGGCTCTGGGTGCTCGAGCCGCAGCTGGCAGCATCCTGGAGGATTTCAGGCTGTTCTCGGGGAGCCCAGTCCTCTCTCCTGGGCTGGGTGGGTGGGGCAGGGGACTGGCTGGTCCCTGGGGCACCACACGGGGAGGAAGAGAGGCTTCCCTTGACTCAGACCTGCTAAGCAAGCAAACCTCCTAAGAGGGACGGGATTGGATCAGTCTCTCGATTCTGTTCACGTGGCCGTGTGCACAGGACGAACAGCACGGGAGATGTGGAAAGGAAGGATGGGTACTGGGATCCAGGCTCCCTTCACGTGGTATTAGTGGCACGTGGTCCATCTCTTTTGCCCCCTGAGCCGCGCATGGTGCGGCCACAATTGCACTGAGGCCCCGGAGGGTCCTGGAGGTTCCCAGGGCTGAGGCTGACCCCTCTCAGCCTGGGTGCCCCTGGGGGACCCGATGGAGACCTGCTGTCTAACAGAGACTGTGTAAGTCTCGGGCAATGGGGAGAGTCAGGGGCTACAGAGGGAGGAGCAGAGTCCTGGGGCCGGTGGGAAGACAAAGGGGCATGCTGGCATCCTTGGACCCAGGTTCAGCCCCTGTCATGTCACACGGCTTCACCTCTGTGAGGCTCAGTTTCCCCAGCTGTAAAGTGGGTTCAGAACACGACCTATCTCTCAGGGTTCCCGAAAGGAATAAGCCGATGAATGTTCGTGAAGGCCCATCCCACCCACCCCCCGCTCACCGTTGGCTCAGAAACAGGAACAGTCAGTAATTGGGCCGTGGGGTCACATTCCTTAGGCTCAAATACCAGCTCTGCCTCCCACTAGCCGTGGGCCCTTGGAAAAATGGCCTACGTTTCCCAAGGCCGAGTCACCATGACTGCAAGATGAGGATAATAAGCATATCATCGTCCCAGAACTGTTGTGAGAATTAAACGAGATCATTTGTTAAAGTGCTTGGCACGTAAGAAGTACTTCATAAATGTTAGCTATTACTACGTAAAAAATATACTTTGGGGATAACCAGGACTCACGAACGAGGAGCCCTCTACTAATTACCGATGCTTGAGGGGACCCCAAACCACTAATATAGAATTTGACACAGGAAAGATAAAGTTCTCCATTAAAGTTCAAAACATCGGTTCCCTATAAATATGTTTCCATTTCTGACTTACAGAAGCTTCCTTTCCCTGTAATTTAAGCCCTCGGAACCTTTGAAAGGAAATGTCAAATGAGAAAACCTAGCATGTCCTGACTTACGGTATTCAGCTGTTTCTTTTTTCAGTCAACAAACTCTTAGTGAGCATTGTCTGTGTGCCTGGATGTGTGTCGGGTCTGGGGACACCAAGGGGAAATGCCCATGCCTAATTCACCATCTAAGGCCCTAGGACATTCCTGACTGAAGGTTCAGATGAACGGCCTGAAATTTACCGAAGGGCTGGCTTTCTTCCACCCAGAAACACACTGGAAAATGGATATTCTAGAGCAGTTGTCCAACAGCCATTTCTTGGAATCATAAATGTCCGAGAGTTGCTGCAGCATTTTAGATTATCTTGTTTTCTTTATCCATTGAAGCCAAGATTTTTAATGCTACATCTGTGTGTCTTTTGATAATAAGAACCAAATGTTGTCGGTGGAAATGACTGGAAATTACACTTAGGATCAGAATGTGGGGTTTTAGATTCCCACTTGGAAGGCAGTGCTGAGAAACAAACACACAAGACGTTTTCCCTATAAATCACCTCGGGATGTTGCAACACTCTTCTATCCAGGCATCAGGAAGACTGGGATGAAGTGGATGGGGGGAAGGCATCACCAGTTGGTAGTAAATACCCCACAGCCCAGATCACGCCTCCAGCACCCACCTCCAGCTTTTCTCGTCTGCCACTAGAGCTCGCCACCTGGATGTCCACATGCATCTCAAACTCAACACGTCCAAACTGAACTCTTCATTCTCTCCAGAACTGCTCTGCTATATTCAGATTCCACGCTGATGAAAGGCACCACCTCGTCCTGGGCAGGAAAGCTGGGAATCATTCCCCGTCTCCCCCGTCCACCGCCCATGCTGCTCTCACATCCATCAAGTGCTGGCCCTTTGCTCTCTGATTTGGTCCCCTCTGCCCCAGCCCCCTGGTTCCTGTCCTGGTTTGGGGTCCTCCTCCAGAGTCTGGAGCATTGCAGGAGCCTCTTCTTGCCCACCTCTGACAGCCACTCCCTACCCCTCCAGCCAAAGTGATCTTTGGAGAAACCCACATAGATTCCATTTGGCCATGGCTTTTTTGAGAACTGAACTGGAGTGCAAATCCATCAGTTTCTCCACTTGAACTCCACCTTCCAAGAAAAATGTAAATAACAACAATATCAACCCATACCTAGGATTTAACACAAGAGGGGACCTTCCAGGAACTGCCCTGAGACTAGGACACCCTGGGGGAGACTGTACCCCTTCTTCCGGTCCACCACGTCCTGGATAATGGAACTGATGGTCTGGTGGCAGGATTCTGGCACATGGAGATGACCCAGATGCAGTCCCTGCCAGGTGGGGCTCCAGGATGGGTAGTTAGGAATGACTGAAAGGAAAGTTTCCAGAAGGAGGGAGCAGAGAGGGGCAGGGCCAGCTTGAGAAAATCTTGAGCCTTGAAAAGGCTGAAAGGATGGACCAATGCCTGTGGTCTGGAGAAGCTGCCAGTGCCTTAGCAGGACAGCAGACGGGCAGTGCTGGGCATCGGACAGATGAGGCATGCTGCAAGCTCTCCCGCACCCTTTGCAATTCTTAACAGCCTTTCACCTGGGCTTTGCGTTTGGAACTCACGGTGCGGGGCACGGATGACCCTGGCCCAACACCCCCCTCACCTAGAACTGGCACCTTGGGACTGGACCAGTGTCTCTGAGTGCTGGGAGGCCCACCTGTTGCAGCCTCAGGGGGCTCTGATGAATAACAAACTTGTATGCGTTTGCTTCTTTGCTTTGTTCTTAGAAGGCAGCTAGGAACTAAATATTTTCTGGGGGAGTGCGTATCCCCATTTCCCTAACCGGCTTCTACCAGTCTGCCCATGACACCCAAAGGACAAAGCTAACGAGCTCAGTGTAGTGTTTTTTTTTTTTTTGCGGTACGCGGGCCTCTCACTGTTGTGGCCTCTCCCATTGCGGAGCACAGGCTCCGGACGCACAGGCTCAGCGGCCATGGCTCACGGGCCCAGCCGCTCCGCGGCATGTGGGATCTTCCCGGACCGGGGCACGAACCCGTGTCCCCTGCATCTGCAGGCGGACTCTCAACCAGTGCGCCACCAGGGAAGCTCTAGTAGAATCTTCATAGTAGCTAACGCTTGCTACATCCGTGCCGTATCCTAAGCATTTTGCTTGGGTTATTTCACGTCATCCTGACAACGGCTTGTGGGCTACACACTTCGATTACACCTATTTGCGGGTGAGAAATCGAGGCCCTACTCAGCTAAGTCGCTGGCCCAAGATTGCACAGCCGGGCAACGGTGGAGCCAGGCTTTGAACCTGACGTTGGCACCCGCAGATGTTTGCTGATAGAGCACTCGGATGCATTATTTAATCGGATGCCAGCCAGCTCCCACCACCCAGCAGCTCCCACCCATCCAAACCCCGCCCTCCCCGTGCCACACCTCGTTTGGATTCAGCACTGAAGGTCCTGCAAATTGATATCTGGAAGGGGAAGTCCCCACTCTCCACTCATTTAATATAAATGGACCCACCACCCACCCTTCCCAAATGGCTGATGCCACAGCGGCTCCCGACCGGCGGTCAGCTCTGGGGTCATCAATTTCTTGGTCACCCACGGAACACTCCGGCTTTTCAGCGAGTTCATGATAAATGCTGTGGGGTTTTCCTCTGGGAGGGCAGGCGCGGGCTCCGGGCACGGACGGGTCACAGGACTGACAGCAGGGTGGCCCCCCGCAGAGGAGGCTGTCCCAGGGGGTCCCCTTCCAGCCACCCCGACCAGAGTTGCGGCCTCCTCTTCGGAGCCGGGCGTAATTGGTTCTGCATGGTGTTGTTATGGCTTATGTGGGAATCAGAGCAAAAGAATTCGGTGGGGAAGGCCGCTGTTGGGGACCACATGGCGACTCCCGGCGGATGTCTCCGCTAACCTGTTCCCAATTAGGGGCTTGGGGGGCTCCAGGCCTCCCATTTGTTTGTGAAGCGATTTGACCAAATTCTGCCTCAAAATTGGTCAAAGGGGAAGGCCCTTTGTGGAGCCGTGTTCATCGTTTCCTTTTTAAGTTTTTTTTTGGCCACACCAGGTGGCTTGTGAGATCTCACTTCCGCAACCAGGTGAGAAAGAACCAGGTCTCCCAGTCGGGCCGCTATACTGGATTTTATGGGAAGGGTTGGAAAATTGTTAAGCTTTGTCCCTCTGCATTGGACGGTGCCCAGAAGTCAGGTGGACAGACTGACACTCCGTCAGCTGGAGCTTCCAGATGTGCCTGGCCACCTGGATTCAAGAAAGAGCTAGCTGGGAAATTTGGGAAGAACCAGCATTTTCTTCCCCAGTTTGGGCACCATTTTTGCCATCTACAAAAATACACTTTGCTATATTTAGGTGGTGCTATTAACAGGACTCTCTGTCTCTTTTTCCCTCAAGAATGTTTCTCGGTTTGTTTTTGTCATTTCATATTTTTCCCTACCACCTGGGGAAATCATCAAGCACTCCCATTCCTGAAGCAACCTTTCCCACTGCTAGCTAATTAAAATAAACCTCTGTCCAAATTTCGACCTTCATATTTTAGGTATCGGTGGAAAGTATTCGTGCATGTTTCCCCCACCTTGGATGGACGGCACGTTGCTGGTATTTCTGGGGTGTCTGCTCTGTGCCAGGCACCATGCTAGTTGCCATCTGCGTGTTTGTGCATGTCAGGCGCTTGTCTACCCTGTGCAGGGGAGCCGTTGGCATCACGCTATGTTCTAGATGACAAAGCCGAGCCCTAGGGGGTCAAGCCACAGCCACAGGGGCTTGGGGAGACTGAGATCTGAATACAGGTTTATTTGACTCTAAGTTCTGTGTTGAACATGACTCACAGGTTGGGGCTGGAGGAGACACACGCTGGGAACATTCACTTCTGAAGTTCTGTGGGTTCTACTTTAATGTGGAATTCCATGAGCCTCTAACTGACCCTGGTCAGCCTCTAACTGACCCCTCCAATGGAAGGGGCCTTGACCTGGGGGAATCTAGGGGGCAGACCTCCCTCCCAGTTTGCCCCTGCCCCCAACACCACTCTGAGATGCCTCTTAGCTTCCAGCCCTCACCCCAAATGGCAGCACCTCTCCAGGGGGGACCCCAGGACATCAGGCACGAATTAGGAAAGGCCCCCAGCCCCTTCTCCCAATGCAGGGCTTGGCAAATTGGAAAAGGGCTTCGGCTGGCTCTCTGGATGGGTGTGGTCCCGTGTCCAGGCACACGGCTTGGCCAGCTTGCAGGGGGCGGTGCCCAAGCCACCATTCACCCCTTGGCCTGGCGTCCGTGTGCAGTAAACAGCTTCACACTGCACAGCGTTGACTTTCCTTAGCAAGGAGGCCATCAACACAAGCGCACAGGCCACGTGCTCCTGAGCCTGCCATCCCGGGCCTGACGAATGATGACGACGGTGACACGACAAGAAAATAGGTCATGCTGATCTGTAGCTATGACGCATGTGCCGGGCACGAGGCTAAGCACGTCTGGTTGTATTAACTCGTTTAATCTGCACCACAGCCCCATGAGGTACGTTCTATTATTGTCCCCATTTGAGAGATGGGGAAACTGAGGTTGTCGTTTGAAAATACAGGGACCATGGGGTCAAGCTTCTTTACAAAAACAAAATCTGGGAATTCCCTAGTGGTCTAGTGGTCAGGACTCTGTACTTTCACTGCCAAGGGCACAGATTGGATCCCTGGTCGGGGAGCTAAGACCCCGCAAGCTGCATGGTGCGGCCAAAAACAAAGAATGAATGAATAAATAGGTAAATAAATACACAAATCTGACCCGATCACTCCACTCAATCCTCTGGGCATCCATCCGTATAACCTCAGAGCAGGTGGGTATGGCTCCAAAGCCCTCCATGGTCAGCCTCCTGCCTGTCACTGCAGCCACGTCTGCTCTTGGGCACCCCTACGTACTCTGCTCCAGAGGTACCGTAACCTCCCACCCCGTACAAGACCTTTGCCTAGGCTATCGGTCCCACCCGGTCTGCCTGGCAAATACCTCTTGTTCATCTTTCAAAACGTACTTGAGCATCGGTGGTTTTGGTCTCTTTTCAAGAGCAGCTCCCTCCTTCCTTCCTCTGGGTCCTGCCGCTCTCACTGCATATCTCCGTCACGGTCCACCTCCTGCAGTCGAACGTGGGTCCTAGGAGACAGGTGTGGCTGCTGTGAGCAGGGTCTGGCTGTGAGTGTTAGGGAAGGGCCCTGTCCCTCTCTTCTCCGCCCCTGACCAGCATTCCAGGTTAGGCTCCCATCGGTGATTCAAACCACGAACCTAATATTTGTGTCAATAGCATCTTTCTACATCTGATGGTTGCAAGATTCTAGCCTGTGTCTTTTCATACTTGTTTGGTGCCCCTGGTGCTTGTGTCCTGGGTGTGTGTGAAATGAGCCTGCCGAGGCCTGGGGAGAAAGCATGCAGACACATAAATCTTGCGGACGTTCCATTCATTTCAGTGAACCCAGAGGCCACGTTCTTGGCAAAGCACCCAGGGAAGGCCTGTGGGGGGGATGCTTGGTGAGCACGGGGCCTCAGCCTCCCACTTCCTCCTAGGAGATGTTTTCTGGTTAATGGTGACAGCAGTCTGAGTCCAGGGTGGGGGGATTTCTGAGTTGAGAGGAGCCCAAAGTAGGGACCTCTTACACTCCGAAGCACCTCACTCTGAAATTACAGCATGATTGCCTTCTGTGGCTGCAAAACGTGTGAACTGGTGCAATGCCCAAGTCCCTGGTGTGATTTCTGAATACCACAGGAGTGTGGCATCCTGGGAAGCAACGTCTGGGTGGCACCCACACGCAGGACGCTGTAGCCACCAAGTGCTCACCCAGCGGTGGCCACGTGTGATCGTGCTCATTGGGGCTACAGCTCCTGAGAAACACTGAACTTGGCAGTTCTGCCTATTTCGTGGTCAGTCAGCCTTGGGTGGGAGCAGGGAGGGGGCGGGGCTGAAGAGATGGAAGGAAGTTAATGGATTTAAGAGCTATTAAGGAGTCCAAGTGCCCAGGTGTGGCCATGGACCACTGTGGAAGACACAGAGAAGAAGGATTTGGAGGAACCTTCAGCTTCTTCCTGGCTTGGGCAGTTGCCTGGTGGATGTGTTTTTCACAGAGGAGGGAGCCCAGGAGGCAAGCCAGGTTAGGGTGAAAGCGTGCGTATCGGTCTGCTAGGGCTGTCACCACAAAGTTCTACAGGCTGGGGGGCTTAAACAACAGACATTTGTTGTCTTACGATTCTGGAAGCTGGAAGTCCAAAGTCAAGGTAGCAGCAGGGTTGGTTCCTTCTGAGGCCTCTCTCCTTGCCTTACAGATGGGCATCTTCTTCTTGTGTCCTCACACGGTCAACCCTCTGTGTCTGTGTCCTAATCTACTCTTCTTATAAGGATGCCTGTCATATTGGGTTAGGGTCCACCCTAATGACCTTCTTTTAACTGAATCACCTCTCCAAGTGCAGTCACATTTTTTTAAAGGTAAATGCATTTTTTTTCTTTTTAAAAATTTTTTATTTATTTTTGGCTGCACTGGGTCTTCGTTGCTGCGTACAGGCTTTCTCTAGTTGCTGCGAGCACGGGCTACTCTCTTTTGCAGCGTGTGGGCTTCTCATTGCAATACCTTCTCTTGTTGCGGAGCACGGGCTCTAGGCGCTCAGGCTTCAGTAGTTGTGGCACACGGGCTCAGTAGTTGTGGCTCGTGGGCTCTAGATCGCGGGCTCAGTAGTTGTGGCGCATGGGCTTAGTTGCTCTGTGGCATGTGGGATCTTCCCGGACCAAGGATTGAACCTGTGTCCCTGAATTGGCAGGTGGATTCTTAACCACTGTGCCACCAGGGAAGTCCCTGCGGTCACATTCTGAGGTACCGAGGATTAGAACTTCAACAGATGAATCTTGGGAAGATACAATTCAGCCCATAACAGCATGCATATAGTTTTAAACAGGTTGAGTCCTGAGAACCACGCAGACACCCAAGCCATGTTGGATGTGTCCTTCTGGGTTGAGAGGGGAGGGCTTGGCTGGAGCTGTGAATTTGGGGGTGGGTGGCAAGGAGATGGTAATTGGGGCCACAGGAGAGGAGGAATCGGTCCAGGAGAGCGAGTAGAGGGAGATGAGAGGAGATTCAAGACCAGCCATCCAGGAACCCAACATGGGAAGGGCGGGTGAAGCTGTGGCCGGTGGGACTGGAGAAGATCCAGGGGAGAGTGGAGTCACAGAAGGGACCCCAAGGAAGGGATTGCTTCAAGGAAGAGGGTGTGGTCATCGTTTTGAACAGCAATTGCCCTTTTTTCTATCTGACACTCATTCTGTTTCGTGTCTCCCACAAGATGGCAGACAGCTTGGGGCAGGGGCTTAGTTTTGCTTTTATCCAAGCCCAGTCCCACCCTCGACTCACCCCAGAGCCTGGTTCAGGAATAGAATAAAACTTGAAGTATGGAAATATTCATTTCCAGTTTTTCTTAGGCAGGTGTGAGTTTCTGTTTTCGTGAAATCAGTCTACTCCTGGGAGTTAAAGGTGGATAAACGTGTCCTCTAGTGGCAAGAGGCTCGTGTCCCCCCCCACTAAGGCAATCTCGTGGCAGCAAATGACAGTGAGCTAAAATGAAACACCCAGATGTGCTGTTAGACTTGGAAGGGGGGGAAAAAAACCTGGCTGTGCTCGCTGTGGCTTTGTTTGGCCTTTAAACATTGATTGGTCAAAGTGAATGATGCTTTCCAGATGCTCCAGTTTCCCCCAGCCAGGAGTCCGGCTGGCCAGCTGGGCCCCGCTGTGGGCCTCTCCTTCAGCCCAGCCTCCCGTGCAGCCAGACAGCCTTCCTCAGGCCCGGCTTCCACCCGCCAGCTGTGGGGCTGTGGCCTCGCTTCCTGCTGCGGGGAGCGGGGCGGGGGAGGGGGTGCTGGGCAGATGGTCCCCAAGGACCCTTCCAGCTCTAACAGGCAACAGTTGTGTGCCTTCTAGCCCGGCAACTGCCTCAGAATCAAAGTCAGGCATTCGAGGACCCCCGCAGGGTGAGCGGTAATGAGGCCCTTTATTTGCAAAGGGCTTCGTGATCTTCTGAGACGCCACTCCACATGTCCGCCCCGAGCTGCCTGCCCAGCCCCAGCGCTCTGGGCACGGCTGCCTGGATAACCCACTCCCGGTGACGTCAGCCCCGCGCCTGCCCCTGCCTCTGAGCTGCTGTCCTTTGGAGTTTATCACACTTTAACGTGAATCGATGAACAGGCTTCTTCTCCTAGAGTAACTATTTGTCTCGGATTCTAATACTCGAACAAGCTGGTGAGACGCCTATGTTAGAATTTCTTTTAAACTTTTAATTTCAAACTAAATATAGATTCACAGGAAGTTGCAAAAGTAACACAGAGAGACATTTCTGCTTCTGGAGCAGATGTACTTTTCCCTATTCCTCCCACTAAGTACAAGTAAAAACTCTGAATGTTTTATATAAAACAAATAGAAGAAGATTCTGAAAGGTGGAGAGAAACAGGTGGGCTGACTAGGGACCTCAGGACCTAAGGAATTCCACAGTGGCAAGTTCCCTGGGTTTTCTTTTGCCTCGTACATCCTAGACTTGGAGGAGGAGAAGCTGGCATTTAAAAATGTCAACAGGCACAGACAAACAAAAGCCTTCTCTCTCTGGCCAAAAGACCAGGAAAGGGAAGCCGAGCAAGTCAGAAATCTTGTAGACAATAACTGCTCTACTTTAGCTAAACACACAGAAGCAAACACGGCCCTGCCCACACCCACACTGCACTGTAATGAGGTGTCCCAACATCCCCACTGGTGTCAGAGGAGGCTGAGTGGGAAGCCAGGACTTTCATCCCTGCCAGCTGGAAACGAGGCCCCTCTCCCGTGGTGCCTGTAGAGACACGTGGGGAGTCCAGAACTCTACCCCAGCCTGGCGGTAACAAGGCATCTCTCCTACTCCCCACAGGGTTTTGTCAGAGGAGGACCGGTAGAGAGTCAGGTCTTTCACCTTGGCCCGATAACAAGGTGACCCCTCCCCCAACCCCATGTCTACAGGTGAGGAGAAGAAACAGCCCTCCTGTCCCTCCCAGCCAGGGAGTTTTCAGGGCAGGCTTAGCGGAGAGCCAGAACTCCCACTTCCATGCAGCGGTAAGAGGAGCACCGGGTGCCAGTGAAGGCCAACTGGGAAACCAGGACTTCTATCTGCACCTGGCAAGAATGAGGCTCAGCCCACGCCACCCCTTCCAGAGCAGAGTGAGAGGAAACCAGCTGAAACAGAAGGTTTAAATAAGATCCAGAATCTCATGTGCAGTATGAGAATGTCCAGGTTTCAAATGAAAATCACTCAGCATACCAAGAACCAGAGAGATCTAAAACAGAATGAAAAGAGATAATAAATAGAGACCAACCCTGAGATGACAGAGATGTTAGATTATCCGACAAAGATTTCAAAGCACCCATGATAAAAATGCTTCAACAAGCAATTATGAATATGCTGAAAACAAATGAAAAAATAGAAAGTCTCAGCAAAGAAATAGAAGATAAAAGGAAAGCATCTGTGAGCTGGAAGACGACAATCAAAAGTACTCAGTATGAATAACTGAGAGACAACAGACGGGAAAAAATTGAACAGAGCCTTGGGGACCCGTGGGACTATAACAAAAGATCTAATATTCGTTACATCAAGTCCTGGGAAGAGAAGAGAAAGAGGTTGGAGCTGAAATAATAACTGAAATCTTCCTTCATTTGGCAAGAGATGGAAACTTATACATTCAGGAAGCTGAGCAAATTCCAAATATGATAAACCCAAAGAAATCCACACCAAGATGCATCATAGTTAAAACTCCGAAAACTAAAGACAAAGAAAAAAATCTTGAAAGCAACAAGAGAGAAATGACACTTTACCAATAGAAGAAACAATTCAAATTATAGCAGATTTCTCATCAGAAATCATGGAGGTCATTAGGAAGTAGCACGACTTTAACAAGGGCTAGAAGAAAAAATTTCAGAATTCTATACTCAGAGAAAATATTCTTTAGAAATTAAAGGAAAACCAAGACATTGTCAGTTGAAGGAAAACTAAGAGAACTTTTTGTCAGTAGACCTATCTGAAGAAATTTTTGTAAACAGAAAGGAAACAAGAAGATGAGGAACCTTGGAACATCAGGAAAGCGAGCAAAAGTATAGGAAAATACAATAGGTTTTCATTCTCCTGTCGAGTTTTCTAAATTATGTTTGACACTGAAGAAAAATTATAACACTGTCTGATGTGGTTCTAAATATATGAAGCGGAAATATTTAAGCCAACCGTAAACAGAAAGAGTAAAGGAACCTAAAGGGAGATGAGATTTCTATACTTCACTCTAACTGGTAAAATAACGCCAATAGACAGATAAGTTATGTATACATAATGCAATACCTAGAACAACTACTAAAATAGTTATATAAAGAAACACTGTACATAAGTAAAATTGGAATTCTGAAAAAGTTCAGTGAACCCACAAAA